ATCTTAAACAAACAATATCTCATCTTTTATCTAAAAGCAAAATGTAAAACTTCCATCATTTCAGTCCTAAGCAGCAAAAATCCATTTAGGGTTTACAAGAGATGACACTACATCTATTTTAACTTTGATCAAATAAACTTGATATGTTTTCCTTTTCCTTTTAACAATCTTGATCTTTAGTCTCTTCATATGTCCTAGAGTAGAATCTGATTTCTTTTCATTTTTTCTTTGTCCCTTATCATCATATTTTTTTTTCAAAGCTTAAACAAGTCTTTTTTTAAAATACAATATAAGAAAATTAGCCAGACCAATCTTTTGCTTTGTTATTTGTATATCCCTTTTAATTAAACATTAGCCGGTTTCGTTTGTATATCCAGTGTAGCATCTTTTTACATATTGTTCTTATAGCTTGTCATTTTTAAATCCACTTTCACATCAGTTTCAGATCAGCTGACTGCAGTTTCAGCAAGATGGCTATTGTCCTGCTTCTAGTTTCAAATACTGACTCTGTTCTCCTTAAGAGATGGCTTATGGGTAATGTAGTTTTAGCTATTCAGTAAATCCCATGTTAACAGGTCAGTAGGAGGAGCTACTAAGTTCATCACAGGATATCCTGGCTACATGCCAGCTTGTAAAAGAGGTCTTTGTGAAGAAGGACAAGAGGTGATGTGTCCCATAAGAACCATGGGGTGAGTTCACCTTCAATTTTTCACCCAAAGGAATAGAAAAGGTCATGATATGTTCAGCAGAAGAACTCTTCTTAACTGTAAGTTATTGTTTGGGATTTCTGATGAATAAATGATCTAATATTCCTTTCTTTGGTGTTTATCTGAATGAGAAGAACAAGGTTAAAGCAGAAATCTTGTTTGGACCATCACAGACTCAAACACAGGTTCCATGGGAATTCATTGTTTATTCAAGGTCAAAGAGATAACAACAGTCAAAGCATGCGAACGAAAAGAACAGTCTCCAATAGACCCTTGCCTGAATGATCAGCTTTTTAACAACAGCGAGCAGAATAGTCCAAAATCAGTCCAAGATTCTAAAAGCCAGATTAGGATTGTCAGCCAGTCCAGAGCACATAATCCAAACAAATTGTCATGCAAGAGCCAGAGATCAGAGGGGTTGTTTCCAGCACAGGAAGGCAGGTCAGATTGCAGGCACTTGCAAGGTTTACTCCCTTGCTTGGCAAGAAGCCTCATAGAATGTTTTTGCTTTGCTCTTCCCATGCCAGAGTTGGGAGGCCTTATATTATTCTCATTTGACTGCTCCAGCTGTCAAGGTTGTACTTGTTCTCAGTTAGCCTTATATGATTCCTGGCCTGGTGTCTCTTGAACCCCATTCCACAAGTTCAGCTGGAGCATCTGAGTCAGAATCTTGAGTCTTAGGCTATGATAGCAATTCTCTTATCTCCTACAGCAGAGGTCTCCAACCTTCCTCGGTTGGCAGACCAGAGGGAAACAGAGAGGAAAGCATTTTGTGCGCACGCGCACATACAAACGGGGCTGCAAGCATGCTTGACGCAAACGGAGCGGTGCTAGCACCCACTGACACTAGCACCGCCCTGTTTTTGCTGCGCGGCACCTTGTTTTCCCCGCATGGTGCCCTGTTTTTATAGTGGCTGGGGGCCAGCCTGTTCCGCCACCCGGTGGCCAGCAGGCCAGCCCGGTAGTGGGCTGCAGCCCACAGGTTGGGGACCCCTGTCCTACAGCTTGAAACCTGCCAGAGACAGTCTTATGGACTCCTCCGAGGAGCAGCTACCTGAAGAACTTAAGGGTAAACTCAAGTTCGCTCCTGTTCAAAGGAGGATTATAAGGAGTCAGTCTACTTGCCGGCTCTTTATTCCACCATGGTGCCAAAGCAATGCTCAGTTTGCCATTTCCTCTCTGGAAGACCCACTGCAAAACCAATTATAGGAAGGCCAAACAGAATCCTTTTTTGTCTTCACTGTTCTCCAGTTTTACTTGCCAACCATTTCAATTTCTATTAACTTTGAAAGGAATAAAAGTGACATGAATATATAAACTACACTCAGATTTCCCCTCTCTTCAGCTACTAAAACCTTTGGGGTAGAGAAATTACAACAGATGAAGGTTAAGGGATCAACCCCTATGAATCCTTTAACTAAATCCACTGCTCTTTGTTAGGAAATTGGAGCATGCTTCTCACACATTTATTTCCTAAATAGCAAATGTAATCCTGGAACAATCTACATATATTTACTTCCACAAATAAAATGAAACATAACTTAGGAGTACATAAAGCATAGTACATAAAACATAAAGCAAGACCAACATTCCGGTATACTCTTATCAATTAAATCAATTTTAATTCTATGTTAACTGCAAAAGTCAGTAACCATCATCTCCTTACCCTGTGAAGTTCTACACCAAAGTAGCGGACTAGATTAGGATGCTTAATGCCTTCAAAAATTTTCAATTCATCTGCAGTTTCTTTTATTGTTTTGTGATCATTGGGTTGAAATCTGATCTGCAAAAAAAATAGACATTATATTTCATGAGTGTTGCAAACCAAGCTAACAGGAAAACTGACTTAGAGAAAAGCAATACTGAAACCATACATCAATCTGTTTATTCTATCACTATCAGAATGAGTAAGAACAATCACAGATCTGTACAGATAATACAGATATATCTTCCCTTCCCTTCTCTTCTCCTCAATTCTATTCTAGGGCAAGTAACAAAAGTTTAAAATCTACTACAGACAAAAGAATTACAGAATATTTACCAGTCAGCAAACAAGAGCTGACCTTCCATATTTCTTCATACAGCAAGTTATTAAATGCTGCTAGTGCAGCTACTGAGAGGCCTCTATCTTGTCATTTTTGCCCAATGCTTCTATTCTATGTTGAATACAATGGGATGCCTCTCCTTCTGATACTAAGAAGCAAATATGTTGGTAGGAAAGAGGCATTCTCTCACAGTAAATGGCTTAATTTAAAAAGCTGCCACTTAAATAATTAAATAAATCGCACAAACAAACAAACAAAAAATATAAACATATACAATTGTTTTACAAGAACATTGCTTACTTCTTTCATTGCCATCAATTCACCAGTGTCAACGCTGATACAGGTATAAACTTTCCCATATTGGCCTTCTCCTGCAGAATTGTAATTAAAAAAAGAAAAAAGAAAAAAAATATTTTTCCCACAGCCTTATCAGTATAAGTCAGTTATATATCATCTTCCGCAGAATATTTAACATAAACGTATGTGTGGATTCTTTTGTTAGGTGCCTTGAATGCTCTAGGAATGAACAATCTAATTAACGTACAGGCATTTAAACAGAAAGTGTTTTAAACACACACATACACAAGACCAGAATATCATACTGTATAATAGCTACGTTATGAAGAGTGCAGATTAACACCATCACCTAGCTCAGGGGTAGGCAACCTTGGCTCTTTTATGACTCGTGGACTTCAACTCCCAGAATTGTTCAAAATATAAAACCTCCAGAGTATTATTATGCAATAAATATGCAGCCATTTGTCCGAAATGGTATAGGCTCAGGAATTCTGGGAGTTGAAGTCCACAAGTCATAAAAGAGCCAAGGTTGCCTACCCCTGACCTAGCTCCTGACCTATTCCATCCGATTCCAAAGCTAATGAATTCTATATAAAATATATGTCATTTAACCCTAAGTACCTGTCTTTACACAGTTGCATTACAGGGCAGATTTGACTTCTAAATCCTCGGCAATAACTTACAGAATATCCTGGATTTAGCACGCTTTAATCCGCCATGGCTTTTTAAACAAACCAGCACAGATTGACAAAAGCAATAGTCCTTGAGTCAGATCAAAATAAAATATGCAGGAAGATACGTGCATGACATTTCTGGATTAAAAGCATTGGACCGAGTCGTGCCTCTGCGGCCTCTGACCCGACGTGGATCTCGACCATCTCCTTGGTTTACCGAGGGGCTGAGAGAGATGAAACGTCGGAAAAGACGCCTAGAGAGCAGTTGGAAGGCCAGCCGAACCGAATCCGATCGAGCACAGGTAAGGATACATCTTAGATCCTACCTTGTGGCGCTGAGGAAGGCTAGGACTAACTACTATGCCTCACTCATCGCGTCATCAGATAATCGCCCGGCCGCCCTCTTCAGGGTAACCCGCTCTCTCCTCCAATTGGAGGGGGGGGACCCCCTGGAGGGGAGGGCAGAGGAT